CTCAAACTGGAATCAGGTGAGCTCGAAAATGGGGATCAGGCTGAAAACTGGTATCATAGTGAGACTAGTTTTAGAGCTTGACACCGATAATGGGTACTGACTGAGCTCTGTTTCTGCGATCAATGATACCGATTTAAGGGATCGTATGAGCCCATGTGGCGCTAGCTCAGAAAGTATTCTCGAAATGTGCTGTCTGTTTTGAATATGGTACATTAGCCCGAAAACTGGTCTCTGAGCCCGAAAATCGGGACACTGTTTTCTCAGTGTAGCGAGATCGGGTAATGTACCGTAGAGTAGCCTGGCCTGTTTCCGAACTGGTGTGGGTCAAGTGATGGGGTAATGTCAGCCATGATCTAGGTTGTCAAAAATCCTTCAAAGATTTTGGAGAAGAGCGGGGTGAGTGAAATGGGTCTAAGATCGTTGAAAGAAGTTGGAGGGTTGACCAGGGACCGCGGATTCCGGGGGGCAGGGTGTGCCATTGCACACCCTAAAAATCCTGAGGGTGTGCAAACACCTATTTTTGCACACCCACAGTTCGTTGTGGGGGCCCATGCGGCCCTGGCGCTTGAGTGTCCCAAGCCGATTCTCGAGGGCCCCAGCGCGAGCCTGATGGTCCCGCACCGGTGCCCGAAGGCGTGAACAGGTTCTAGTGTTATCTCAGGGGTTATCTCAGAACCCCACCCACGCCATTTTTAGCGCTCCCACCGGCTCTTGAGGGCCCAGGCCGATGCCTGAGGGCCCCAAGTCGATGTCTAAAGGTCCCACGCCGGTGTCTGAGTACCTACATGGCTAGCTCAGGGATCCACGCCAGTTTCCGAGGGCCCTAACCGGCTCTTGAGGGCCCCTGCCCCCTGCCCTCCTTAACCCCCTCTTGGGGCCGATGCCTAAGGGTCCCGCATCAGCACCTGAAAGCCCACAGAGTTATCTCAGGGCCCCATACCAGTTTCTGAAGGCCCTCACCGGCTCTTGAGGGGCCCCAGACCGATATCCAAGGACCCCTGGCCAATGCCCGGGGGCGCAGGCCGATGCCCGAGGGCCCCAAGCCGTTACCCGAGGGCCTTACACAGCTATCTCAGGGTATAATGCCACTTTCCGAGGGCCCTAACCGGCTCTTGAGGGCCCCAGGCCGATTCCTGAGATCCCCAGGCTGATGTGAGAGGGCCGGCCGACTGAGGCGGCCCCTACGTCAGTTTCTAAGGGAGTCCACGACCGCCGTCTGGTCAAAGCTGATCTCTGAGGGCCCTACGCAGGTTTTTAAGTGCACTCAGCTCTTGTTTAGGATCTCACACCGGCCTCTGAGATCGGATGGCTTATGCATGCCGCAGAGGAGCCCTTACCGGCTCCTGAGGGCTCCGTGCTGATAGTTGAGGGCCCCATGCCAATACTCGAGAGTCCCATTCAGTAATCTCAGCGCCCTATACCAGTTTGAGGAACGCCGTTCGGCCAAGGCCGACCTCCGAGGAAAAGCCCTCTGCAAGCCTCGGAGTGCCCTCATTTTCTTTTTTTAGGATCTCACACAGGGTTACTTTTACAGGAAAAGTTGAGAGGGGGAATAAAGTTCGGGGCAAAGGCGGATCCAGGGGCATCTGAAAGGGGGGTGGGCGGCAATACCATTAGGTTTTTCGTTAGGATGGAGCCCGCAGAACCTTACCTACCCCCAAATCCTATTCTTTCCTCGGGTTTCAGCCACTTTATTTTGGAAGGTTGCCAAAAAATAATTTTGCTAAAAAATATACGCACCTACCTTGGCTGTAAGGGGCGGGGGAGGTCCCAACTTGACTGCGCCCTTGCAAATGCCAATCAGTAGTATCAACCTATCAGTGGTATCAATAACTAGTAGGTATACCCCGGCCAAACATTAAGTAACGCCTTTCTAAAGAGAGAGGTTAATCCGCGCCCTGATTGGAGGTCATTTTGGCCCCCATGTGGGTTTTCTTGAAAAGCGAAAAACAGCGGCGCGCAGCGCCGCCAAATTTTTAGTACCTTACCGGGCATCAATTTGAAACCTTCGCACAAAATTTCAAGTCTTAGGTCACCTTAGGTCAGGAGTAATTGATGTCAAACTGTTCGAGCAAAAATGAGCAAAAAACATGAAATTCTTAAACGCTCACAAAAGCTACAGTTAACGAGCAATTCCAAAGTTCTTTGTGTGGTCGTGTATGTAGAGAAACGACGGCGCTACAAAACTGCAACCTCTACAACTACAAGGTGGGCAGTGATATCCGAACAAAAACTAATGAAGCACAAAACTTGAATTATTACTATTAGTATTAGTGAGCAGTGAAAGTTCCATTGGGAAAGCCGGCTGTGATGAGGTACTTTTTTTGCGCCCTGCTCTGCATGCAAAGCAGATGAACGTGAATGCTGCATAAAGAGAAAAGTCATTTATTACTCAAAGCTTTGATGCCTATGGGACAAAAATAACGTTGTTTTTCCTTCAATGATTCCGGTTTGGAGGATGGTTAAACACGGCCATTGTCATATTGGGACAAAAATTTTAGATGTCTGGCCTTGGCGTCGATGAAAAAGTGAAAATAATCGTGAATAAATGGGTCGTTTCTGAGAAAGAACACAGAATATAAAAGGGGGTCCAAAAGGGGGTCACCTTCTTTTTGCGTCAAAGGAGGGGCCATGGCCCATTGCCCCCCTCCCCCTGTATCCACCCTTGGTTCGGAGAGGTAATCCCGTCCCCCGCCGGTTTCTACGCCGACGCCTGTACCGATATGTCAGTGATTGCGAAAAGACGGAAGAGACAAGACAAGAGACGGTCCCACCGACTATCCGATCGGTATCGGGTCAAATCTGGAGTTCCTGCTGCACTGAACGTAAAATGGTTGGATGGAACCGAAAATTGAAAATTAATAATTATCTTAACGCCAGCAACGTTGATTGATGACGAGAATCTGATTAACGATGACTATAGAATCTGAATAGCGAATTGATTGAAAATGGGCTCCAAAATAAATTTGAAAGGGGGAAATTCCCCCTTCCCTCCCTAGCCGTTCAGACACGATTTGAAAGGGGGAGCGGAATTTTCGAAGGGGGGAAATTCACCTCTTCCCCCCCTTTAAAAGTAACCCTGATCTCACACCAACCTCTGAAGTCTCAGGGCTAAAGGATGCTTCTGATAACCCTCACTAGCTCGGACCCAAATCGATGCATGATGACCCGACAGAAGTGCCTGAGTAGCCCACACAGTAATCTCAGGGCTCACACCAGTTTCTGAGGGCCTACACGAACGCTTTTTGGCCAAGGTCGATGTCTCGGGGCCCTATTCAGGCATCGAGGCTACTCGGGCGCCAAGAGACGGTGGGAGACCTCCAGGCGAGCTTGCTTGGTAATGGTAGTTGGTACCCCATGGAGCCGGCGAACGGTGTCAAAGAGCCCGGTGTGGGGGCCCAAGAAGCGGCGTGGGCATCTATATTTCTATGTACATGAGGTATTCCAGAGGCCGTTATGGGACCTTCAAAGACCGTGTGCGGTGCGCCGGTGACCCTTAGAATTGCCGGCGTTGGGTCTCAGGAGCTGGCGTGCGGCCTTTATGGGGCCCCAAAGCCAGCGTGTGGGCCGTAGAGCAATGGGGAAGCTAAGGGGGCCGGAGGCCAGACCCCCATAGGTCATAGGGGCCAAGTCGATGGGCCCAAACATCCCGCCGGCCGTGTTTTATTTTTAAACTTATTCATGTAATCCATGATAAAAAGAAGTGTGCCAGCATCAACTGTGCAAAAGGGCTCTCTGAGGCCCGTAGGGGCCCTTGAAGGTCACTGTAAGCCTTTAGGGGCGTGCTTGGGAAAATCGGAGATCGATTTGGATCACGTTGCATGCATGCATATGCATTTACTCTGCTCATGCATCTTCTGACCGTAAGATGCTCGCTCAGTCATCTTACGACCGTCAATTTTGAAGGTTTTCCCGCCCCGCTTCCTTAGAACCGGCTTATTCCGGAGCAGTGGCGGCGCTGACTTTTTGGAAGGGGCCCGGCGTGAGATGGGGGCCCAATCGCCACATCTTGCACACCCTACGAGAATTTGAATCCGCGGTCCCTGGGGTTGACCTTGGGAATGGGGGTGATGAAGGATAGCTTCCAAGCAGACGGAAATTTTCCGGAGGATAGCGAGGAGTAGAAGATGTGGGCGAGTGGCTGTGATAATTCGAAGGCAAACTCCTTGACCAGCCGTGCTGGCAGCTCATTGGGTGTGGTGGAGATGTTGGAGTGGATGCTGCTCAGTTCCCTTTTAAGTTTAGACGGCTCACAATTTCTGAATATGCAGACTCAAATCATTGCACAATCGGGCTTACCACTGTTCGCTGCATTACTATTTGCATGTGTTCACATTAGTGATGTCAATTTCAGAAATTTTGGAAACCAACACCAAACCGATACCGACCAAAACCACTGAGAGTATACCAAAACCGAACCGATTTTCAGAAATAGGGTGAAATACCGGCTAGGTACCGAATTCAGGGAATCATCAAACAAATGCTTCAAACTTTCTCAAAGCAAATGATAAGCATTAAAAGTAAAATAATACTTTAAAATAAGGTAACAAAAACAAGTCGGGAAATCTCTAAGTTATTTGCACTGCAAAAAAAAAAATATAACTGTATTGTGTAACTATTAACAAATATTCAGGTCAGTTACTTAACTGGGATGTGGATTCAGGAAGTATCATTAGAATATATGACCTTCTCCTCGGAAAATGACCAAATGAATGAAAATGATTATTTATTGATGAATTGATGATATTTCGGTCACAGACCTTCGTCTAAATCGAATTCGTGAAATCGTACAAGGCAAAAGTAGCGAGCAAAAGGGATGTGGATTCAAGTCATCTGCATGAGGTGATAGGACAAGAACTTGAACCCTGAACCTCATCCATGCCTGAACCCAAGTCATTCAATTCGAGTCCAGTCAAGACAGGGTTACGTGTCCCTAGTGAAAAAACCTACAGGGTAATCCTGTATGGTTGACCCTACAGGATTTTTGACGAAATTGTTACCAGGGTTCCTGCAGGGTGCCCTGTACGGTGCCGTACAGGGCACCATGCACGGTGCCGTACAGGGCACCATGCACGGTGCCGTGCAGGGCACCATGCACGGTGCCGTGCAGGGCACCATGCACGGTGCCGTACAGGGCACCATGCACGGTGCCGTACAGGACACCATGCACGGTGCCGTACAGGGCACCATGCACGGTGCCGTACAGGGCACCATGCACGGTGCCGTACAGAGCACCATGCACGGTGCCGTACAGGGTACCGTGTACGGTGTCGTACATGATATTGTGTAGGGTACCATGCACGCTGTCGTGCAGGGTATCGTACAAGGTGTCGTACATGGTATCGTAAAGGGTACCATGAACGGTGTCGTACACGTTGTCTTGCAGGATTTCGTACAGGACACCACACTCGCCATTCTACAAGCAGCCGTGTTGTTAAGTGTTGAGCCGCTGTTAAAGCCCGGATGAACCGCTCACGAATAAAAACAGCCATCTACTCATCTCGCATGTATTACATTCTCAAACGGGCGTTGAGCACGGTTCCATTCCAGCTGGAGGGACGAGGGTAGGGCGCCCGGACACTGCGCCCTTACTGGCCCTGCTCGGCCCTCTTCTAGGGCCGCGCTGTTCTCGTCGTTTATTTTCTTTCTTATCACGTCCTTTACTTCCGACTCGGGCATCTTCAGCCGGTTGACCAAGAACGCTAAAAAAGAAAAAGAAAACATCGATACAGTATTCAGTTTTGTTCACTCACTAGTCACTACTATTCACATTAAATGAATATAATAAAGATCATTTTCAAAATGCTTTATTCTATTCTTAATTGGATATTTTTCATTTACATATTTCAGTATTATATTTATATTGCATTTTTGAGCAATGCTATTTTGCATTGCTCAAAGAAGCGGGTATCAGCGTTAAAGTGAAAACAAGTATTTTTGTTCGGGGAATATTTGTTTCTGGTCCCTAAAAAGCTGTTTCTGGCACCTAATTGCTGATCAGCCCCAAAATGCTTATTCGACCCTAATATCTGAATCTGGCACCTAATTGCTTTCACACAGCCTAAAGTTGCCAGATCGTCTAGTTGAACTCCGTATTTGCTGTTTGCTGATTCAGCACCAAAACCAAAACATCCAGCACCTATTTTATTCCACGTTTGCCTACCTAATTCGCGTAATCTTCCTGATTTTATGTATCCTACAACATGAACGTTGCATTCGGTGATGTCAAGTGCCATTTTCGCCAAGTGCCATCACTAGCCAGCTATGGTGCAGCATAGCAAGACGCTCCTATACCAGCCCGCTATGTAGAGACTAGAGATTATTGCACCCTCAGCCATCTTAACGTGAAAAGTTTGGATCCGTCACTTCCAGCCAGGCTCTCAGGTCATAAACTGGAGTAAAGCAAAATGTCAACTCCGAACAGACATGCCACGCAACTCTTTTCAATATTATTAGCTTTCTGCAATCATCGTCTGACTCCATCTCGATCAAACGCAGCATCCGGTTTCTACAGGGGCGTTTGACTGACAGGCCACACAATAACCAAAAACAAAATCAAAGCTTCATGCACACATATGACATAAGTAAGAAACGGATGAAAAAGGCACAACCACGGCACAACTCTGCGCGGCAAACAACGGACAATGTCCCACGCAAGATCCCGCGTTTCTTCAGCGGCCTTGAACGGAATGAAAACATCACATTTCTTTTTTGGAGCTATTTGATGACGTCAAAAAATACAATACCCGTTTTAATGGTCAAAATCGAGACAATTACTCACAAAAATGTTTCCCTTTAAGCATTACAAATAAATACTTTAAAATATTTAAATGACATTCTTTTTTCAAACAAATCAATATTATTTGCTTACTTAAACGTCATATACAATGCTGAGATCACTACGGGGCTGTCTTAGAGTGTAGCTGCACTGGCAACCTTTAGGCTAGACTCCAGGGGTCATTATACCAGAACAACATGATTCTACCAGCCAGTAGTTCGTTTTTCTACTAGATTGGTGCTACGCTCAGCATTTAGGTGCCAGATTCAGAAAAAAGAGTAAGGCGTACCGATGAATAGGTGCCAGAAACAGCTAATTAAGGTCATTTTCCATGATTGGTGCTGGTATCCACCAAATAGGTGCTGAGGACCAATTTTGGGGCGAGTCAGCTTTTAGGTGCCAGAAATAGCTTTTCTGGGACGCAATTAAATGGCGTCCTTTTTGTTCTAAACTGTCTGATACTAAAAATGGCATGAATATCAATAACATCAATAAAACATGTTTGTAAAATTAAGAACTATTGTTCTCCTGATTCACCGAGTCCTTATTGAATCATACTATCATACCGTCCGATCACCAGGTATGGCTGGCTGATGAACAGCAAGGCTAAACATCACTTACTGATAACATCACGAAGCTTCCCTTGATCAAGGGCCGGCCTCGTCGGCTGCTCAAGCCCCTTGTTCTTGTTGAGGGGACATGCTTGTCCCCTCATAGAGGAGCTGCCCAGCACCTCTTTTCCGAATACGGCCATCATCATGTCGTGAATGGCCTTCTTCTTGTCATCAAAGTTGATGAGGCAAAAGGCCGCAGATGTGATGGCCGTGAAGGGCCCGATGGTGACCTGGCAGGACATTGACAAGTCACAACACAGGTATTCTGAATCAGTGTTGCCAATAACATACATTCCTTTAAATACCGCACGAGATCTTTCTGAATCTTTCTACACATGCGGGCTACCTTTACTTTCTACCTTTACTTCGCTCTAAGCCTCGCCGGCCGGAGGACACTTGCTGTCCCCCTCCCCCTCATTCCTTTGCGATAGCTCGGACCGCGCGTCTTCGTAGCGCAATTTAGTAGACAAAAGTGATATACAACTCAGCACTAATTCAAGAGAAATGAAGCCGGCAGTGATTGGTAAGGTAAAGGTACTAAAAACCACCTCCAGAACCCATTGAGTGCACACAAGAAGAATGAGCATCGAACAGCCGCCGGTAAGTATTTTACCATCTTCACGTCATGGTGAGTTGGCCGCCTCGTGGGAGTTTCGGCTTCGGTCCGACTGGTCGACGGCATTGCCAGTGGACGAGCAGGGGTGGATAGGTGGTGGGAAGCTCCCGCCTCGCTCCTTGGGCTGGCTGAGGCACCTGTATCAGCGTCGTCGTAGTCGTCCACGTTGACAACGGATACCTGCCCGACAATCAAAATACATTGCAATGTTACAAATAATGCAAAAAATCCAATCAATTAAGGAACGTCAACAAAAAAGGAATGGCAAAGTATTTGTATAGTAGAAATCCTAGAGCCCTTCTTTTTGTCAGAAATAATTTACACAATTACCTCGTGCACACGTCATTTTATTTTGAACTCTAACAAATGGGACAACATGCAAACGACTTTGGTTGGAGATAAATGAAATTAACACGATAACACAATGCACCGTGTTGTAATAGCTTTGTCAATGTCAACATAGCAAAATTTATGCTTAAATGCACATGGGTAATGCAGGATTGTATAAAAAAAACATGAAATGCTTAACCAAATACGTACATCTTTCGCAAGCCGCCCTTTGTTTTCTTCCAGCCAAATCACGGCGTCTTCAAGGCGCCTTGCGAGTCCATGAACGTCTGCAACAACATCCAGCAAGCCTCATTAGCAAAACCCAGTAACCTTTGCCCTGGTTGGTGGGGGTGGGGGAGGGGGCGCTTTCAGAATAAACTCGGCAGTCTGATGAATGTATTAACCCGCGCCCCATAGGAAAAGGGGGCCGAAACGACCCACTGTCTTGTCCCCCATATATCTCCTAAACTACTGTCAAAAGCAAAGAAACTACAGCATCACTAAAAAGTATTTTTGCATCAGCATAAAATTTGTTGAAAAGTGTGTTATCATAACTAGTAGTGTAAGGCAACGCTTACTGTTGCTGGTGATGTTGATGTCTTGGAGCACTTCGATCTGTTTCCGCAGTTTTCCGATGATCTCGTCCTTCTCCTTGCACTGGATGCAGTCCTGAGAATAATAACAGGTTAGAGCTTCAAACACAGCTCTTGAGACATTGACGGGGACATGAATTTTAAATGCCACATCAGTGCCACAGCAGATACTGTAGGTCGTAGGTTGAAGGTTGTCGGTTGATAGGATGTAAGTTGTAGGTAACTTGATCGTTTAGGTATGTCAAAACCGTTTTTCCATGCATCCTGATCAGGTTTATTTACTGAACTGTAGCTTACCCTTGGCTCTCGCAGCTGCTCATTCTGCACCTCCCTGAGCACTTCGAGCGAGTGCGACTTCTCGTGCTGCCTCTGTGCCGCCTTTTTTGAGATGACCTGAAACAGCGAAAGATAATATGACTTTCAAGCATCATCCCGACAATTGCAGCTGGGGAGGTTCACCAACACGGGGGTGGGGTGGGGGTGGGGCAGGGGCGGTGGCTAAACGCCTTAACCCTATTCCTGGCGGGCTCCGCCGGGACAAGAAACTGGCGGGGGGGGGGCCGATTCGTTACCATGATCCAAAAATGGTAACCAAATGACAATGATGGGCTGGGCTATACCATTAATGTAATCAAAATCCATGATACCTACAGTTCAACTCAAGTAGCGATGGTGACGATAGTAACGCAGCCAATTTTTCATCATAAATAAATGTTTAACACAACAGATCTTGATAAATAATTACTTACGAGGCACACTGATAGATAGGAGACACCACTGTAATCAGCCCCCGTTCACGAGCTTCAGAATTCCTTTACCGTGACGTCATCACGGCGCATGAATTTTCCTTCACCCATAGAAATGCATGCAAAGCATGGTGTGTTTCAGGCGGGCTAAGGAGAAATCTAAGGCCTACATGTATTCAAAAGACGTACCACTAAGCCAATGGATTCGTCTCATTACGATAAATGGGGTTGAAATCGAAACATTCGGCCTATATTTATCTAAAATGGGCCAATCAAATGGTCCCTGCAACTCATAATGAAGGATTTCCTCTGCGTTGAAAAATTTGTTTCAAGTGTTTTTTCATCAGCGACAGGGGAAATCCTTCATAATTGCTACCAGATTACTACCATATTCCCTCGCATTTCTGTTGCGCATTGCCTCACAAATCAGAGTTTTGTGAAGTTTATATTAATTTAATTGTCATATTTTGACTGATTTTGGCGATTTTCAATTATTTCAACGCAGCATGGATCAGATAGCTCTCATAGTTTGCTGAAGAATGTGGCTTTTGCTTGGTTATTTTCAAGTTATCTGTGATTTGGTGCGCCGTGATCGTAGCATTATACAAATTATATCAATTTAAAAAATTGAATCAACTTTTGAAGTGAAGTTCACATGAAAAATCAAAAGTTCAAGCATAATAATTGTTTAAACTTAATGATCCAACATGTGTCTCCCAGATGGAACTTATATTTCAATTGAAAACTGAAAATGGAAAACAAGATGGATCTGCGGAGTTACTGAGATCACAAGGTGCTCTTGATTGTTGGTAATTGAAGGTGTTGAGAGAACTTGTGAATCTGCATACCAGTCCTGACTTGCTTGATTGTTTAAAACTATTTTAATTCTCAATTGTGTAATGTGTAGTGACTGTGCACACTGCGCAGCACATGTGCGCAGAAATGTGCAGTTGGCTGGTAGGTGGGTTAAACTTCGGAGATGCGAATTTGGATGTCAGTTATAAAATTAATGGTTATGCCTTGTAGAGTAAGCTCTGCTGTTTTTTTTTTGTAATTGTCTTTTTTATAATTGTGACCTACAATGCTGTTAGTTTCATTTTTATTAAAATGCTCGACCAGAATTTGCACTTGTTCATGCATGAACTGCTAAGTTTGGGGTGTTTATTCAACCCTGACTGCTCGTTTTTCAAAGGCACATGACACAGCACGGCTAGATCAGCTGGTACCTACCTGTTGACTATTTTTGTTTTTGGTGGTGACGTGTTTGCTGTTTGTCTTTTGCAAGGTGGTCAATGAAATAAAATAATGCATCATTTTGGAATGTTTCCTTGACAGAAGCCAGGAGCCGGATTGATGTGTGCTGGTGAATGAGATGGATCAAAAGCATTATCTGATGTTTTTCAATGTGCATAAGCCATAACATCCCTTTCATATGCTGAAGTTTTAATAGCTTCTCAGTCTCTGTCACTTTCCTGAAATATTGGTGTAGATAAGAGATATCAGTACCTTCTCAGAGGTACCTGCCTTCTGCTGGATGAATATTTAATTGGTTGGACGAAATGGACAGGTAGCCTTATGATAATGTAATGTGAAATCTTATTTCTATAAAACTTAAAAGAGGAAGTTCTAATTATTCATATGTGCATACAATTTTGATGACTAAGAAAGTTTTCCACAAGAGTAGAAAATGTGGGAAAGTCTATCAAATAACACATTCTGAAGGCTCAATGCTGACAGAGTGCTGCCTCAAAGAATAACTGACTTGCTGGGTTACGAATATTTCTTTATTTTAATTTTCAAATGTAATGTACAATACATTGCAGTGAAATAACAAAATAGTGCAGTAAAATAGTATTGGCGACGATCAAACAACACGTGCGCCATTGATGTCTGCAAAAATTGCTACCAGATTGCTACCAAATCCGTGACGTAGCTACGGCGCCTTTATTTCCCTAGTGAACCAACCTGAGTAGTAAAGTAATCTTGACTGTAATGATATCGCGATGAAAGCTAAGTAAAATGTCCATAATTTTACGGAATCATTGACACGTGTCACGTGGCATCACTTCCACAATGGCAGCCATGCAGGCGGCGGCCATTTGCATTTAGGCACGAAACGCACGGAACTGCATAAAATAAAGTTTTTTTCTTTTTTGCTTATGTACACTTAATTTAAAAATATGATGTTCATATTTTGGTATCTTTTAATTAATTCAAGAAAGATTGTACGCCGCTATCGCTAAAAAAAGAAGAACCAGAAAAACAATGTTGCTCAATTATTTTCAATTGATTTTTGAGCGACATCGGATTTTAGCGCAGCTGCGACATTTAAAAGTTCGTAGATGTGTTCAGTTTTTGAACTGCTATTAGCGAATCAAGCCAAGACCCAATTATATTTTAGGAATGCTTTTGATTATATTGCTAGCGATTTCTATCTGTTGAGGAGAGCAGGAAAGAAAACACTAAGTAAAGAAAATAAATTATCCACAGGCTCTTTTTGAAGTTGAACGAAGTTGAGAATTTGTGGGGTGATGATGAAGTGATAAATGCTGCCTTCAATATTAGATGATATTGGTGAAGCTAGTGCTATAAAAACAGGGTTTTGACTTTTGGATAATGTAACTGCATTGCAGTGAAATGGAGAGCAAGACAAGGTCAAGATCAATCACAGACTCCTCAAAACAAAGTCAAATTTCTTACCAATGAATGCTGATGCTTTGGAAATTTTGAGTAAGGTAGTTAGAGTATGTTTTCCAGTATACAGTGAGTTAAACATTGATACATGTTTAATGTAATATATGTAATGTTTAATGTACATGTCTTGCACATTAGCTTTTTTTGTAAGATAATTATCCTCATGGTATTGGAATTTGCTGGCACTGATAAGTTGCCATTTAACATTGGTAGACTGATGTGTTTGATGTTGCAGTTAATGTGTTTGCCCATTTGTTATGACATCATGCATTTGGGAGAAACGTGTCATGATTGTCCTTTTTCTTCATCCAATGTCATTTAGCAAATCAAATTTGAGTTCAGAAGGTTTATCAAAAATTTCCCTCATTTTCCCAAGTTGGTTTGGTTTCGGTATTTTCCCGTGGTTTTGGTTGATATTTGGTTTGGTATCGGTATTCCGATTTTCCGTAATTGACATCACTACTTTGCACTGTCGTAGTTCGAGGTTCGATGAAGAGCCTCACTGCCGAGGCCGAAGCGCCACCACCAGAGTCCAGAGCTGTGGAGCGCTGTCACTGCGAGCCATCAGGAATAGGATCTAATAGGATATGGGAATAGGAATAGGATCTTACACAAAACCAGTGCGTGTTCCACGGGCGGTTCTCCCATATAGGCAGCGTAGGCAGTGCCTGCGTCAGTCATCGTCTTCCTCGCGTTTCCACACTTCTTAAATGTTGGCATTCGTTTACATGGCTATTTTCGTTAAAAATAATTTCTTTTGCACCTCGGAAAACACGGAGAGATATACATTTTTAAACTATTGGAAAAATGTCACACTTGAACAATGAACAATGATCGTACAGTGACAAACACTTTACAAAAACTTTTGCCTAATTGTGCCTACTTCGTAAGTACGCACGCTGGCCCCTACCCTATACACTCCGATCGGGAAACTCAGGGAACAAGGCAGAATAAGCCGATGGCTTTGCGCGCCCACAATAGGGAGCCATCTCCCTCCGTGTCACCTATGTACATACTTGCTGTAGCCACCCTCACCCGCCGCTTGCCATCTCCGTGAGGAGTATAAATTAATCGAGCACCTGGGGCGTCTGGAACCGGGCCTTCATCACTGCTCTCCTCAAGGCCATCTATAGAAGGTACAGTCACTCCCCCGCCGACCAATCAGAGACAGATCCTGAGTGACGTCATCCCTGATGCTCAAAAGGGGTACTCCATTCCTTTACAACGTAAAAATGACTGACTTCATTTAAAGATTGTTGGTGACACTCTAGACATATCGCTCAAAAATTGATGTCATTAGAAAGTCCAACTAATTTTCTAGCGATAAAAAAGAGCAGCAATATGCTAAGAAATGGCCGGTTTTGAAGATATAGACGATTTAAAAACCCTCTGCAGTTGCAGGAAAGCAACGTAAAAACGCATCGAGCTTATATTTTTACTATGAATAAATCATTTTTCAGTAAGTTTTTAGATATGGTATCGATTTATTTAACAACTTTATTACAATATTTTTATTACTTGGAACTTTATTTCAAAATAATATTTTCAAAAATGGCAACTGTTGGCAAGTAGCTTTGAAGGGATTGTGGCGCGCCGCGCCATTATTGTCCTGAGGCCCCCTTATGATGTCATCAAAAGTGGAGTGACATGGGCCTGGCTCTCCTCATATCGAGCTGGGTCCTTTTGTCCACTGCCGTTCCCAATATTCTTACATATTCTTATAATATTCTTACAGATAAGGTTGGGACGCCAGTCTCGTGATCCTTTTCCCAACCCTACTCACGATTTTCATAAGCCTTAATTTATTCTTGAAGCATTTTGTGGAGAGGCGTTTTTAGTTAATTTATTTACAAAAACTAATTTTACATATATTTGAAATTAACAAATTTTTACTCACTATCTCCAACAAAAGTTAACTTTATTTGTGTTTCATTAATTAAATCAGCTGCAGCAGCCATCACCCATCCACCCATCGTCCTCGATGTAGTCGAACTCGGCGCACTCGGATAGTGTTCAAAATTTGTGACGCTTTCTTGTTGTTAATGCGACTGGGCAGAACCTACGCTTTTCATTCGTCAACAAGTGCTTGCGGAGCTGCCGCTCACACTTTTGAACAGTCTTTATGCGTTAGTTTGTGTGACGCGTCATATCTGAAACATGTTTTGCGAGGCTCCAAAACCATTCAATTCATCTCCTTCAAAAGAAGTGTTTTGTAACATTTTCGATATGTTTTTTGGGCTCCATTACTAGCTCCATTCATCCTATTTTGCGTGAGGATAGTCATCATTCGGGGCCCAGTAGTTGAAAGCAAGAAATAACGACGAGGAGAAGGTCTTGGTAAAAAGTCGCAGCGATTGCATTGAGCATTTAATGACGAAAATGTTTACCCCCCCCCCCCCCACCGCCTCAGGCGATCACGTGCCGTCATCCACCTGGCCGTTCCAACCAGGGTTGGCGGATTTCTGCCAGCGCCTGGTTTAAACCGGTTAAAATCATGAATTAAATCGGCTGGCATATGGTGTAGTGGTGTCATTTTCCAAAACATGGCTGACCGATAACCGACCGAAGCTGAAATTTGGGAAACATTTCCGACCGAATGCCGACCGATAACATCCCAAGCCAAAATTTGACCGAAATTATATATATATAATTAATATATATATATATATATATATATATATATATATATATATATATATATATATATATATATATATATATATATATATATATATATATATATATATATATATATATAATATATATATATATATATATATATATATATATATATATATATATATATATATATATATATATATATATATATATATATATATGTTTTGTTAAACACAACAGCATAATGGGCACTTATCTTCTTCTTATTAAGACTTTCGAGGCGGCGAATGCACTGTCGAGGTTCGGGTTCGTGAGAATGTAAAATATTACCAAAAGATGTCATAAATACAAAATATCATAGCTATATTGTTGTTCGACGTTTCGATCTATCAGAGATCATTTTCAAGAAAATTACAGTCACACAGTTTTAGAAGTCATACTTTGAGATAAATGGGTTCAATTACATTTTTGGAACAGATATTACGGATATGATACTAAAACTATTCAGTCGATGAGTCACAGCATTCAAAACAAAATAACACACTTTTGTTTTCGTACATGAGCTATAACCCTAAACACATTCGTTCATCCTCCGCGAAGGAAGGTCACATCAAAAACACCATAGCGAGATACGTACGCGCATATGACAGATAAATCAGTCAACCCGCCGCGAGTACTTTGTCGTACAGTGATAGAGATGTGTTCTGCTTTGTCTGAATGTTGATGATTGGCTTTTTGTCGCGAATGTACACTGTTTCAAGTGTGACGAGCCGTCTACGATCCTGACAGTGTGCTAGGATGGATGTGTTGGTCACGAGATCGTCACGTGTGAGTGCGGTGTTGTGATGTTCTGTGTAGTGTTTCTTGGGGGCTCCGTCCTGCAGGTGCATTGTGAGACGTCTGCTCAGAGACGTTGTGGTGTGACCAATGTAGTATACTTCGCGGGTCGCGCAGTCCCCGGCTGTACATTTAAACTGGTATACTACATTGGTCTGCTTGAGTGTTGCCGTGCTGCGTGTGGGATTGTTTTGCATCACCAGTGAGGATGTCTTGGGGCTAGTGTAGTAGACCTGAACTACCAGTCGCTGTTCCCCATCCGTAGGTTGGCAGTTACGGCGAACAATACCGCGGATCACCTGCTCATCCGTCTTCCATGTTGGAGACATCGTGCTGCGGTAGTACACTTTTAGCTCGTCTTTCTTTGTCTTTGGCTCCTTGTTTGTCACATGGTTCTCAAGCATGTTTTTTACAGCGTCGTCAAACATGGAATTGCTGTACCCATTATCCTATTTCGTAAGATCCTAGTAGATAATGGGTACAGCAATTCCATGTTTGACGACGCTGTAAAAAACATGCTTGAGAACCATGTGACAAACAAGGAGCCAAAGACAAAGAAAGACGAGCTAAAAGTGTACTACCGCAGCACGATGTCTCCAACATGGAAGACGGATGAGCAGGTGATCCGCGGTATTGTTCGCCGTAACTGCCAACCTACGGATGGGGAACAGCGACTGGTAGTTCAGGTCTACTACACTAGCCCCAAGACATCCTCACTGGTGATGCAAAACAATCCCACACGCAGCACGGCAACACTCAAGCAGACCAATGTAGTATACCAGTTTAAATGTACAGCCGGGGACTGCGCGACCCGCGAAGTATACTACATTGGTCACACCACAACGTCTCTGAGCAGACGTCTCACAATGCACCTGCAGGACGGAGCCCCCAAGAAACACTACACAGAACATCACAACACCGCACTCACACGTGACGATCTCGTGACCAACACATCCATCCTAGCACACTGTCAGGATCGTAGACGGCTCGTCACACTTGAAACAGTGTACATTCGCGACAAAAAGCCAATCATCAACATTCAGACAAAGCAGAACACATCTCTATCACTGTACGACAAAGTACTCGCGGCGGGTTGACTGATTTATCTGTCATATGCGCGTACGTATCTCGCTATGGTGTTTTTGATGTGACCTTCCTTCGCGGAGGATGAACGAATGTGTTTAGGGTTATAGCTCATGTACGAAAACAAAAGTGTGTTATTTTGTTTTGAATGCTGTGACTCATCGACTGAATAGTTTTAGTATCATATCCGTAATATCTGTTCCAAAAATGTAATTGAACCCATTTATCTCAAAGTATGACTTCTAAAACTGTGTGACTGTAATTTTCTTGAAAATGATCTCTGATAGATCGAAACGTCGAACAACAATATAGCTATGATATTTTGTATTTATGACATCTTTTGGTAATATTTTACATTCTCACGAACCCGAACCTCGACAGTGCATTCGCCGCCTCGAAAGTCTTAATAAGAAGAAGATAAGTGCCCATTATGCTGTTGTGTTTAACAAAACTTGTATAAAAGAGAACCTGCTTCCGAACTATTCGAATATATATATATATATATATATATATATATATATATATATATATATATATATATATATATATATATATATATATATATATATATATATATATATATATATATATATATATATATATATGTTTCATTAAATATGACAGCATATCTGGCATTGATTTCTTTGCCAGATATGCTTTGATATATATGTATGTATATATTTGTGGTAGAGATACTATCCCAGACGCTGGCCTCATTACTGTATTTTAGGTCTCAGCCAAGGCTATGTAAACCAGGTAGAACGCTCCCGACGAAAAACTGGGGACAAAAATGAATTTAATAACCGCGACTCTGGGGACCAAACAAACTCAGGTTGCCATGGTAACGGGCAAATTTGGCATGAGTACGCAATACGCATCTAATAACTCATTTTCAACGAATTGTTTCAGAAAAAAAGCAAAAAGACTTGTCGGGCCGCTACTAGAATGAATTGCAGTTTTCATAACCGACCCGAGTTTTTATCAGACTGGCCTAAATAATATCAAAATCAAGTCCTTAACTGAACGGTGCGTGCTGTTACAGGTTACCTCTAACGCTCTGTCCCCCAAAATCGTCACTGGCTTATCAGCCAATGAGCGTCGGCCGTCGAGTATTGCCGTACGCTGATTGGCGGAATCAAGGTCCTAAATACAAAGGTCCTGTTCATGAAGTGTGCGGTCGCTGCGGCCGGCCGCAGGTAAGCCCCGCCCATTTTTTTGAAACGTCATCACCCACTGCCGCAGCAGCGTTCCGTGAACAGCGCCTGCTGCCGAAATAGTTTCCGATACTTCTTTACGACTGACGCACACCGCTAGATAATTTGTTTACAAAATCATCTCCATGACAACACAGCTTGCGCCAATTTGACTTCATTGCGCCAAGTTCAGTGCAATTAGTTTTCTTGCGGCTCGGCGGTCGCTGGATTGCGGCCGCAGAGATCGCAGGGGTCGCAGCAAGGTGACGTCATACATTCGTCATACTACATGAGCCCCGCCCCTTTTCGTGACGTAACAACTCGGCTGACCGCAGCGGCCGCCGGGGTTCATGAACAGGGCCAAGGCTGCACTTTTTCCTACTAAATCTACTAGAATATACACTAACTGGTTTTTTTTGGTAAACTTCTATCAGCATTTCTTTATTATTATTTCAGAAGCGTTTTAAGGCAATTTTGTTAATCGAGCTACAATATATTGGCCCTTAACTAGCCAAATAACTTTCTAGCATTGGATTCCAACCAAAAACTAGTATGGAGTGTAGCAGTAGGAGCCATAACTGGGAAAAATGCGTAAGTTGCGCACCTGTCTAAAAAAGTACGCATTGTTTGAAATTGTCTATAACCATAATAACCGATGCGTCGTTGTTGCTCGGCAGCCGGCATGTTGTCGGTTATTCTCTTTTTTGATAGCTTAACAAATTTATTGATTTACAAAGCTATTGAAGATTAAAACATCTCAGTCTGGGGAACGATATGGGACGATCAGCGGGTGAGACTAAATGCTTACTTCGAAATCTAAGCTGTGTTGCGGCATTGGCGGTTATGTGCGGCGTGTATGCCGCATGATTAGTAAGCGGCGACCACTAAATTCAAGACTTAAACGCTCCAACCTGTTTTCAATGAATAACACTGCATACCAAAAATGCCAATCATTCTCGTCATAAGATATTTAGATTTAAATAACTAAGTTATCTGCATCATCATTTTGAACCAAATTAATGCCTTCAACTTAGTAGGTACTCACTCATTCCTTCCTTCGTTGGCTCCAAACAGTCTTTCGATTGTCTGGAAATCGTATGCCAAATCCCGCACCTGTATACGACTGGTGCATATAAAGGCCGATGTAAGAATTTCAATAGGCTCTCGCATGCGATTTCCTGGCTACCCAAAAAGTCTGTTTCAGTCATGCTATCAAAACATGGTATGTCAGCCCTGTCACCAGCTTATGACTGCTCTACTTGTAGTGCCCCTGACCGTCACCGACTCCCTTCCCTCCTTAAAAGCCTAGTTTCCCACCATCATCTCTACTAGATTTAGGTGATGCTCCGACAAATTCACAAACAAGACCGAACTTGTTCGGAGTTCGGACTGTGAGTTAACCCTCGCCCTTTAGGGGGGGGGGGGGGGTCGAACGGACTCCCCTCGGTTTTTCGCGAATAACTCGCGTAAAAAGCGGCCGATCACGACGTAACGTTTAGTACCCTCGCGTTGATCAATTTTACACCTACCCTGAAAATTTCATGACCCTGACGCAAATAACCTTTGACCTGTGACCTACTTTTCGAGACCATGTTTGGCCGGAACCGCGATTCAGCGTATGTCGGCTCGCATTAGCAGCGCGTTTGCAGTCTTTTCGTGGTTTCAAGCGTTCAAACATGTGATATGATGTTGCCCCCATGCATTAGGGTGGGTGTCAAGGTCACCTGAAGGTCAGGTCAGGTCATTGACCTTTGGTGACCTCGGTTCACTTTTTCGAGTTTGACATGTTTCTAGGCCAGTTTTTCGAGCTGAATTCGAATTTAGCAACCACATGAACGTTTACAAAGTAGTTTTGATGCCTTCGTAACATGTAACGAGGCTGTCAGAGGCAGTTGACACCTACTACAAATACCCGGCAGGACCTCTACTGGTTGACCTGACCTGACCTGACCCGACCTGGCCTAAATGAATGGAGACATCATCTGTGATCAAAACTAGCATGATATTCGTGATCAGCACCCCGGAAAACCCCATAGCAGCCACACTACGACGTTCTAACAGGTCCCAATTTTCCGCCTTTTGGGTCATTGACCTGACCTGGAAGGTCAACCGATGACCTAGGACCTTAAAATTGGGTATCATCGGCTTCCTCTCGTCACGGGCAACACGCTCGTTTTTTCCGCGAAGCTCTAGCTTGATCAGGAGCGAAACGGCAAGGGGTTATACCTTATACGTTCGCGGCTGGAAAAACACCAATACGGGCGAGGGTCAAGTTGAAAGTATTAATTTGGTTCAAAACGATGATGTAGATAAGTTAGTTATTTAAATCTAAATATCCTATGACGAGAGCGATGGACATTTTTGGTATGCAGTGTTATCCATTGAAAACAGGTCAAAGCTATTGAGTTTTTAATTTAGTGGTCGCCGCTTACTAATCATGCGGCATACACGCCGCACATAACCACCAATGCCGCAACGCAGCTTAGATTTCGAAGTAAGCATTTAGTCTCACCCCGATCAGCCCCCTCCAAAGTCATATGGCAGCATGGGCGTGACTTTTCCTACTAGCCCATAGGGTTGCATGTTAAAATGCGACTTTTCGCACTCGGTTTTCAAGGTCTTATAGTGTGGGCATCCACATACAAAGTATGTTATAAGATAGCTACAACATTTTTATTTCCATTTTTGGAATGAAAAGTTCAAGCCCATCCAACCGTTTTCGAGATATTCGTCCATAAATGGCCCCATGTTTTTCATACATCGGAAGGTCCTGTGTTCGAATCTCGGCCGGACCAAAACTTTTATCGTTAATGTGCGGCAAGCCATGGCTGCAAAGTAAAGTAGGGGTGAGCGCGCTGGTGATGGAGAGTTGTAACTTGGCATACCTGACCTTTGATTCAAGCCGGATTTTGTGGCACCAACCTCATTTTCAGGTCAGGTCAGGTCACTGACCTATGACGTCATAAGTGAACCTCTGCACGGTCACGAAAACGTCGTAACATCGCAGCTCCATCAATGCAAGGAGAGCTATCACAGGCAGATGAAACTTACAGAACTTATCAAACTCCCTAATTCTCAAAAGTCGGATTTCTCCTAAGGGTCACCTAGCGTCAGGTCGGTCAGGTGAT